ATTAAAGGCATGTGCCACCACCGCCTGGCTCAAACTTCTTTTCTTTTTAAAAAAATTTTTTTTCTTGTTTTTATTTTATGTGTATTGGTGTTTTTCATGGGTTTCTAGTTCCCTGAAGCTGGATTTACAGACAGTTGTGAGCTAGAAATCGAAACCAAGTCCTCTGAAAGAGTAGTCAGCACCCTTAACTGCTGAGCCTTCTCTCCAGCCCCAAACATACATTTCTTTTCTTGGTCCAAACATAGTTTCTTAACAGAAATAATGTAGTTGCCGAAGAGAGTGGTTAAGAGCACTGTCTGCTCTTCCAGAGGACCCAGGTTCAACTCTTCAGCACCCATATGGTAGCTCTCAACTAACTTCACTGTTATGGGATACCACACACTCCTCTGGTCTCTTCAGGCACCAGCCATACCCATGATCCAAAGGCAAACATGCAGAAAAAACACTCATACACATTAAATAAATATTAAAAATGTAGTCAGATGCATGCCTACATTGTTGCATACATATGCACATATAAAACACACAGATGTGTGTGCATATATATGTGTGTGTGTATATATATAAAACTGTATAAGAAACACACACACACACACACATGTATATGAATACTATTTTCTATTTTTTCTACCTCTTTGAGATTTGCTCGTGGTTCAGATGTTCCCTTAATAAAGCTACTTTATAAAGGGTAATTTCATTGTTGCTTCCTTTCCTGGGCCAACTAATGTCAGTTTATTCACTGTTATTTAACAGACCTTAGCTCCAAAAATAAAAACAAAAACACTTTATCAAAATACATACATAATTATTTTTTTTTAAATATAGGAATTAAGCATTAGTCCCAGGCCTTCTCAGGACACCAAGTGAGATGCTTTCTCCACAATGTTGAGCAAAAAGGAAGGCTGTAAGAAAGTTCTTGGTAAAGCCGGGCGATGGTGGCGCACGCCTTTAATCCCAGCACTCGGGAGGCAGAGGCAGGCGGATCTCTGTGAGTTAGAGTCCAGCCTGGTCTACAGAGCTAGTTCCAGGACAGGCTCCAAAGCCACAGAGAAACCCTGTCTCGAAAAAAAAAAAAAAAACAAAAAAAAGAAAAAGAAAAAAAAAAAGAAAGTTCTTGGTAGACCTAGGCATAAGCTCCGTGATCTCCATGTTAGAGAGTGCTTGACTGAAAACAAAGTCCCTTAGAACATTTGGTCGCCAAATGTTTTGTGTGTGTGTGTGTTTTGCTAGTAAAAGTCATTCTTTTGCTGATAAATCTAGGCTATTTTTAAATGTGCTTGTGCCTTTTTAAAATAGCCTTAGAGAGGCTGACGAGGTGGCTCAGAAGCACTCACTGGCTGCTCGCTCTTCCAGAGACTTGGGATCAATTCCCAGCATCCACATGGCAGCTCCCACAGCTGTCTTTAGCTTCAGGTCCAGTGTACCTGATACCTTCATGCAGACAAAGCTCCAATGCACATTCAAAAGAAAAAGAATGACGGGAGGATAGACAGACGAAGGACAGAAGAGACAAAACATAACCTTGGAAAGGTTCTTTGTGTTTTTTTTTTTGTTTGTTTGTTTTTTTTTTTGGTTTATTTTTTTGGTTTTTTTGAGACAGGGTTTCTCTGTGGCTTTTTGGAGCCTGTCCTGGAACTAGCTCTGTAGACCAGGCTGGTCTCGAACTCACAGAGATCCACCTGCCTCTGCCTCCCGAGTGCTGGGATTAAAGGCGTGAGCCACCATCGCCCGGCGGAAAGGTTTTTTTTTAATTAAGATATTTTTTAAAAAATTAATATTTGGTCTTTTGGCTGTATGTATGTGTACCACGTGCATATCTGAGCCTGTGGAGGTCATTGAGTGTTGAAACCTCTATGTCTGTAGTTATAGACAGATGGAAGCTGTTATGAGGTCTTGGAACTGTACCTTGTCTTCTAAAGAGCAGCAGGGATCCTTAATTACTGAACCATCTCTCCAGCCCCTGAAATTCACAAAAATTAGAGTGATAAACTCTTCTAAGGAATGAGTTTTCATCTTTTTATGTAATGGAAAGACAAGTATGAGTATTTAAGGGCTAAATTTGGTTATGTCTGTTTGCTCTTTTATTTAAGAACTTACTGTATGTGTGTATGGTGTGTCTGTAGTGCTTGTGTGAAGATCATAAGACATCGGTATGGATTCTGTTCATTTCGAACCTGAGTTCTGGGGATGAACTGGGGTCTTCAGCCTGGTGTCACAAGTTTCTTTATCTACTTAGCCATCTCATCAGCCTCTGTATGTGATAAAAATATATTAACAAGTCTTGGTTGAAAATTGAAGTTCTTAGGAAATTAAACACCTAGATCTAGAGAAAAATACATCGTTTGCTTTGTCGGCTAGCATATAAAGCTATATAGCTATTTGAAAAGTGTTTTGTTTTAAAATACTGTGTGTGTAGCTGAGGTTGTTCTGAAACTGTAGACCAGGCTGGCTTTGAACTCTTGCCTATCTCTGCCTACAGTACTCTTGAGAGTGAAGGTTTGCACTGCCAACCTGTGCTTTAAAAGCTTTGAAAAGAACTACTGTATTTAAATGCTAATTCAGCATGCCAGCCTATTATTGTTTTATTTACTCCACTCTGTCTCAGTGTAGCCCAGAACTCTTTATGTAGTTGAGGATTCCCTTCAAGTCTTAGTCTTCTGAGTCTACCAGGTGCCAGTGCTTTGCAGTAGCAAAAGCTGCTACTTTTAAGCATCATCCCAGGTTTTCCTAATTGCTCTAGCTTCCCTTAGAGATATAAATTGATTAGAAATTTTCATTGTAGGGCTGGAAAGTTGGCTCAGTGGTTGAGAGCAGTGACTGGTCTTCCGGAGATCCTGAGTTCATTTCCCAGCAACCACATGGTGGCTCACCACCATTCATCATAGTGAGATAAGGTGCCTTCTTCTGGCCTGCAGGGATACATACAGGCAGAACACTGTATACATAATAAATAAATCAATCTTTAAAAAATATTTTTATTCTAATTACTTTCCCTTCCTCCTTTAAATTAGACAGTCTTGCTTTATTTCTTAGGCTGAGCTCGACCTCCTGCTTTTGTCTCCCAGGTGCTAGGATTGTATTTGTGTTACCATGCCTGGCTTCCCAAAGATCATTTTAGAGAACGATGCATACTGAACATTTAATCTATGGAATAGAAACCTACATTGCACGTACTGTGTTGGTGTAGAACAGCTGTTGCCAGTTAGCTTAAATTAAAATGACTACTTTTTGTCATTTTCATTAGACAATCTGTTCAAACCACCCCAGGTTTAATTGAGCAGGTGTGCAGTGAGAATTTAGCCGAGCATGAGATATACAGTCCCAAAGTCCTAGTACTTGGGAGGAACCAGTACGTCATCCTGTAGCTAGACTCTGTCCCCAAAACAGGTGCCCTTGTCCTGCTGATGCTGCTGATCGGGGGAGAAGGACACTTAATGACACTGACTGATCTCACACATGCTGTTTCTAATAAATTACCTTGTAGCCTGAACATTTAGGATCGCCTTGTATTTTCCGCGGACAGTGCAAATAGTCGCTACTTTGGTTTGTTTTGTTTTGAGACATAGTCTCACTATGTAACCCTGGCTGTCCTGGAACTTGCTCTGTAGATGAGGCTGGGAACTGGGGTTTTTTGTTTGTTTTTAGGAATTACAAACTCAATTAGAAAAGGCTGATGTAGAATGATCATTTGTGGCTAGGGGCGGGCGGGACTGGGTCGTAGCTCAGTGGTAGAGTGTCTTGCCTTAACAAGGCTTTCCAGGGCCTCAGAAAACTGTACTGTTGATGATTCTTTAGTACATTGTGTTGTAGATTTTATATTCTTTAACATTTCAGTATTAGTAAAGCTCATTTTAAACAAACAGTTGCTTCATAAAGACAAGGTGTTTGTTGTAAGTATATTTAAAAGCATTATTTAAGCATTGCTTATTTTTATTTTTAATTATGTATCTGTATTGGTATATATACTGTATGAGTCCCTACAGAGGACAGAAAGCATTAAATCTCCTGGAGTTAGAGTTACAGGCAATTGTGAGCTGTCCAGCATGGTTACTAGGACCTAAACTCAGGTCTTCTGCAAAAGTAGTACACTTATGTAACTGTGATTTGTCTCCAGCTCCATGTGATAATATTGTTTGTCCCAGTTTGGAATATTATGAACTGATTGCAGAACTTCTAAAAGGCAGTTTATTTAGCAGGCTCTTAAAAGAGATGTCTGCAGAGAGGGTCAGTGGTTAAAGGGGACCCAAGTTGAATTCCCTGTCCCCATGTTGGGTGACAGAGAACTGTATGTAACCGCAGCTGTAGGTATCAGCCGCTTCTGGTTTCTATAGGCACCTGCATTTATGTGCACATACATAAATATTCTTATAATTAAAAACAAAATTCCTTCAGAAAATCCCATAGGTTGTATTAATATTAATAACGAATTATCTCTTTATTAAGAACTATGGGCAAGGGACTGGAGAGGTCGCTTAGTGGTTAAGAGCACATGTTCCCAGCATCCTTGCAACAGCTCAGGATCATCTGTAACTCCAGTTCTAGGGGATCCAGAGCCCTCTTCTGACCTTCATGGACACCACGCGTTTAGGTGAATATGCATACATGAAGAAAAAAATACTCATACATATAAAATCTAGAAAACAAATCGAGGTCAGCCTGGTCTAGAAGAGCTAGTTCCAGGACAGGAACCAAAAAACTACGGAGAAACCCTGTCTCGAAAATCAAAAAAAAAAAAAAAAAAAAAAAAGAAGAAGAAGAAGAAAACAAATTAACAATGCAGCAAGTAGATAAAGATTACAGGATAGGTAAAGTAATGAGAAAAAGCAAGGTTGGGTAAGGATGTGATTTCAATTGTCTTAAAAATAGACTCATTGTAAGAATAAAAAATTGGCAATTATACACACACTTGTTAACTCTTGTTTCAATTCAGAATACATACACTTTGTTTACGTCATTCATAGCCCGTTTTAAGCAGGATATTTCTCTATTTTGAAATTTAGGGCAGCAGCAATGACTCTCCGCACGGTATTATTGTCATTGCAAGCACTGTTGGCAGCTGCAGAACCAGATGACCCCCAGGATGCAGTAGTAGCAAATCAGGTAAGGAGACAGATTTTTGAAAGACTTTCTCAGACGATGTCAGCATAGGAACATTCTTTATTGGAGCGCATTTGGAAATGGTTTAATTGGGCATGTGATAGATGCTATTTCCTAGTGTATGAAAGAATTCCACAGGCAGTCCCTATGTAGCTACCATCCAGATTCTATAGTGAGCATTTTCACATGCGCCTTATCATTTGTGCACCCGTGTAGCTCTCTCTCCGTACATTCTTGACTTCTTCCCCTACCAAAGAAGTGGAGTCCACAGTTGTGGCCTTAGGAGTGATTTTCATGTGTGTTGCTTTTTATCTTTAATGCCTTTAAGGATAAGGTAAGGCCCATCCACTATGGCTGGTTTGGGTAATCTTATTTTGTAGGAACAGAGTCATTTACAGTCATAGGGACAGTTTACATGCTTTCTGAGACTTGTAAGGCGTAAATTACTAATAATATTACGAGTATCTATACCTTGAGACATAGCTTGCCAACCTCTACTGTAAGTATTCTGATTTACTGAGCATTTTTGTTGTTAAACAACATCATCTCTCAATGTATGAAATACTTCTCTTTTCTCTCCCTATATTTACAGTTGATTCTCAGTTTCTATTTTTCTTTCTCTCTCTTCTCCCTCCCTCCCTTTCTTTTTTTCCCTCTTGAGACAGTGTTTCTCTACATAACAGTTCTGGCTGGCTTTCCTGGAACTCACTCTGTAGACCAAGCTGACTTTGAACTCAGAGAGATCTGCCTGCCTCTGCCTCCCAGTCCACTACTTCCTGGCCATTGTTACCCTCTTTTAATGAAAACTTTTGTAGCCCACTCTTATTTTTAACTTTGCATTGATCACTGGATAATCACAGTGCCTACTCTGTCACTGCACGCCAAGGATCTGCTTGTGCTTGAGTTTTTTTCCTGAACCCCCAAATCCTCTTTCAAACAGCATCGACTGCCAAGTGTGGAGGTGCACTCCAATCTCAGCAGTTGGAGGTAGACGCGGGCAGACCACTCTACTCTAGTAGACCAGCCTGCTCTACTAAGTAAATTCCAGGCCAGGCAGAGTTACAAAGAACCTATCTCAAAACAAACAACCAAAACCAAGTGGTTAGGAACTCACTATCACTCACTTAGAGCCTACTATTTACATTGCAAAGGTTCTTCCTGATAAGTTATCCTTGGGCACTTTGTAACTTTTTTAACACTTTGAATACCTGTGATTTGAGATCATGAAGTTCTGAGATCATAATCATTTTTATGTCATTCTGTTTTTCTTGCTTTCTCTTTGAGGAAACATTTATCAAGTATCCTTAATTTTTTAAAAGTGCTTATTACTTGTGTGTGTAAGCACATGCACACACATATGCGTGCCTACTTAATGTTTAAGTGTGGGTACTCTTACCTTGTGGCAGGAATGTTTGCGTCTAAGGACAGCTGTATCTCCTTCCATGTTACTCAGGTTTCAGGCGTCAAACTCTTTTTGTATTTTGTTTGTTTTTATTTCTTCGAGACAGGGCTTCTCTGTGTAGTCCTGGCTGTCCTGGAACTCACTCTGTAGAGCAGAAGGCATCACACTCACCGAGAACTGCCTGCTTCAGCCTTCTGAATGCTAGGAGCCCTGGCAGGCTTTCAGGCATCAAACTCAATTTGTCAGGCTTATTGCAGGTAGTGTTCCTAGCTGCTAAGTCATCTTTCTGGCCCAAATTTCTTTATCCTTATGCTCTTAAAAGAAAAGGAAACCTTATTGTCGGGCAGTGGTGATGCATACCCTTAATCCCAGTACTTTGGAAGCAGAGGCAGCTAACTGGATCTCAGTGAATTCGAGGCCAACCTGGTCTACAAAGCGAGTTCCATGACAGCCAGGGCTCTTAGAGAGAAAAGCCCTGTTTCGAAAATCAAAAAAAAAAAAAAAAAAAAAAAAGATATTTTAAAATGTGTCTCTGTTGTATCTCTTGTATACTTGAGTGCCAGTACCCGTAGAAGTCTGAAGAAGTTGTCAAGTTGTTGGATACCCTGAGTAGAAGTTAGGCTTCCTGAAGTTTGTGCTGGGAATTGATTTCTCGTCATCTGCAGAGCAGCCAGGGCTCTTTAACCACTGAGTCGCCTTTCCAGGCTTCTCTTTATGGCTTTAATGTAAATATATATTTTTGACAACTTTTTCTCTTCCTTCTCCTTGACGATCTCATTTTTTCTATGCATGCCTCCTTAGTTCCATTGCTGAACCTCAAAATATTTGAAGTTATGACTCTTCACTGTTGGCACACACATGCTGTTTGTTCATTTTGGTAGCAGAAGTCTTTCTTAAGAAGCTTAGCTTTGATTTTCCCACAGATTGAGATTTAAGATCAAAGCTGACTTTTAACACTTAAAATAATTTTGCTTGTTTGGTAATAGAGTATTGAAATACATTAAATATATCTTTTGTTTTATTTATTTTTGGAGACAGGGTTTCTCTGTGTATCCCTGGCTATTCTGGAACCAATTCTCCTTGAACCCGCAGAGACTCTCCTGCTTCTGCCTCTCTGTATAGTTCAGGACAAAAGGCATGCACCACCACTGTACTCTCTAAGTAGAGGCTGGTGGATTTCTAAGTTTGAGGCAAGCCTGATGTAGATATAGAGAGTGCTTGGACAGCCAAGTCTATATAGTGAGAACTTATTTTAACAAAAGAAAAAGAGGGGGAGAGAAGTAAAGAATGAATTGATTTGATTTGCCTTCTGCCTTGTGACTAGAGAGATGGATGGCTCAGAGATGAGATCTCAGCACCCGCATTCTGCAGTTCTATACTGCCCTCTTCTTGACCTTTCTGGGGGTTTCTACACGCATGTGCATATATACACACATACTTACATATGTAAATAAATATTTCAAAATCTTTATCAAATAGTACTTTGATAAGAAATATTAAGTGGCTGGGAGATGGTGGTGTACGCATATTCCCAGCACTCAGGAGGCAGAGACAGGCAGATCTCTGTAACTTTGAGGCCAGCCTGGTCTACAGAGCAAGTTGTAGGACAGCCAGGGCTTTTTCACAGAGAAATCCTGTCTCAAACAACAAAACAATAACAACAAAAAAGGAGCTATTAAACAGTTTGACAGTTTTTACAAATGAATGTACCTCACATCTTTCAAATTTATATGGCAAATCTATGTAAAAGCATTCTGAATTTTAAATTTTCTTGAATGGTAGTGATACAAGTTAGGGTTGGGTTTACTTGATTACAGAGCGGCTCCAAGAGAGGTGTGTCACCTTGAGCTCTGCCCAGTAACATAGTTGCTTATATTTATCAGCCAGTGTTCATGTAATTTAACATGCAGCTGATTTTGTTGTGTGATTTGCTGTACAGTGATTAGAACATTTCAATAATGGGTTCATTTAATAATAGATGCTTGTTTAAAGTGTATTAACTTTGTCCTTTATTTTCACAAAGCTTCATTTTTTGAATGACACATCCGCAGTGGAAAACGAATACCAGTTTGTGTTTTGTCACATGGAGTGCTGGTAACTGACCTTGTGATTGTGGGCTTATTATTAAGCTAGCACTACCATTCATTGATCTCTGCAGCCCCAGCCCAGAGGAGTCCCATGTTAACTAGACATGTTTTCTCTAGAGGAGTCAGAGCCTTAGTTGGGCTGCTGTGTTGACTATCACTGTATTGTCATGTTAATTGTTTTTTCCTCCTCCATGTAGTACAAACAAAATCCTGAAATGTTCAAGCAGACAGCTCGACTTTGGGCACATGTGTATGCTGGAGCACCAGTTTCTAGTCCAGAATACACCAAAAAAATAGAAAACCTGTGTGCTATGGGCTTTGATAGGGTAAGTACAGGAGGAGTTGATTTGATTTCCTCTTTCTAAACTGCTCCCAGTCCTTGGAACAGGTGGACTTACAATGTAAAAGAAATCTAGTTTTGGTTAATAGTGGTTTGTTATTGAATTTAATAATGATTCTTTTTGTTGATTCCAGTCATTGCTAGAGGAAAGAATGCATGATTCTCAGTGTAAAACCTTAGTGACGTTTTTCATTGCTTAGCAAGTGCTTCCTTGAGTTGTGATTGCTCTTGTCCTCTTTTTACAGAATGCAGTAATAGTGGCCTTGTCTTCAAAATCATGGGATGTAGAGACTGCAACAGAACTGCTTCTGAGTAACTGAGGCATGGGAGCTGCTGCCAGCCAAGCTCACCTCTTCTTGAGGAGCACCAACATCTGTTATTTTTAGGATTCTGCATAAATTTCTTTTAAACTGGCATTCTTGCCTGATGATGTTATCTAGGCACCATTGGAGACTGCAAAAAAAAAAAAAAAACCAACCAAATTCCCTGCTCTGTAAATAAAGCTAATTAAACGTCTGTGTAAATTTAAAAAGGGGAAATACTTTAATTTTTTTCTTAATAGTGTAAAACAATCTTTGAGCTAAGCTAAAACCATGGAAAAACATGCTATGTTAGTGTTTAGCCATGTAACAAGACTAGCAGTTTGCTTCAGGGTTCTGTTGAATAACTAGGGAAACACTCGAGTGTCGCTGCTCCATTGCCGTGTTGCATCACAGCTACCCTAAGCGTTTGAACATGGATCCTCGTGCCTGTGAATTTACTTGCATGCTTGTACTTGACTTCTTAGGATGGGTAGCTAAAAAGATCACCCTTTTAAGCATTAGGAAATTCGGATTATGAGATTTATCCAGACTTTAAGATGACCTAATCAGAGCTTTTCGGTCCCTGTGGACAGGTAGGGACACTCTTATTTCTTCCCTGTTAACCATCCAAAGCTAAGATTCTCATGGTAAATTTCTGTGTTTGGTGGGAAACGTACTGAGGAAGTGTCCCTTGTTCTGTTTTAGGTCATAGGTTTGAAATGTTTTGTCTGAGTGCTTTACTATGTAAGTAATAATGTAAAAATGGGGCTGCCAATTTTATTTCTCTTATAAAAGAATTAAATACTTGATGTTGCAGTACTCCCAGACTTAATAAAGGACCCTACTTAGGTTTTTTTTTTTTTTTTAAATTGAACTTGACATGTTTAAACTGATGAAGTCTTTGGAAACTTGAAGGATGCAGTCAGCTGTTTTCAGTAGTGTCAAGTCTAACTGGGACTTTAGAGTTTGCTTTTGTCAGACACTTGAGTCACTCTTGCACTCCCCGTGTTGACACACAGAAGCTGTCGGTGTCTCACTGTACATACTTCAGATGCACATAGGAATCTAGCTTTCTTTATGATGTTTTTGACAGTGTGAGAACTGAAACTCTCCCTTCTGTACATAGACTTCTGCTCTTCGCTGTCACTTCTCACTCTGTGTTCCAAAGTTTAAAGACTCTTGGTTTTGCAGACTCAGACACTTAATTTAACCATCTTAATAAGGTTCAAGTGAATATGTAGGCAGTTGTTACGTAGGAGATACAAATATAAATCTGAGGACCAATGCATAAGTGACAGAAATGTAATGGAATCAGACTGAATTAAAGTAAGGCTCTCTTGAAAATCATATTCTAAAAGGTTTGTTTTCTTGAAGTGTTCTTCACTTTCTTTTCTTATCTCTTTTTTTTTTTTCTTTTTTGAGACAGTGTTTCTCTGTAGTTTTGGAGCCTGTCCTGGAACTAGCTCGTATAGACCAGGCTAGCCTTGAACTCACAGAGATCTGCCTGTCTCTGCTCCCCGAGTGCTGGGAGTGTTCTTCATCTTGTAGTCATAGTAGTTGGAAAATACTTTTTGAACCTGTTAACTCAGCATAACTTCATTTGACTTTTCAATATTCTTGATACTACAAGCAATAAAAGAGCCATTAACTAGACTATGACATTGAAGATGTGAAGGGTCTTCCAGCAGCTTCTAAGGCTTTCTCAGTTAGCAGTGACTCTTAGGGCCATGCACTAAACTCAGGCTGCTATGTTCTCCATGTTTGCAGATACACACATTTCCTGTTGCAGCCACACCTTTTATTGCTGTAGTTTATGTCCTAAAGATGCCAAAGGAAACAAGATTTTTATTTATTTTAAATAGCTTAAACTTTGTACTTTTCTTTATATTCTGAGATTAGATGGGTTGTGTGAAATCATGGAAAGTTTAGCTCCATTATTGATTAGAAAGATTTTTTTTTTTTTAAGTGGAGGTAGCTTGGTAACACTAATATTTAGATATCTTGGAGTTTACTCTTTGCCCATATCGTCTGGTCAGACAGGGATGAGAACTCAGATGACTGGAGCCATGCATCACCTACTTTGCAGTTAAGCCCTGCTTTGGTTTTTTTCTTCCTTCCTTCCTTTCTTTTTTGGTTGCAGACTAGACTGGCCCCATCATGTATGTGCTAAATACACTTAAGTTCAAGGCTGTCTGGGTTACATAAGTAAGACTGGTTGAGCTTTTTCCTCATTTTTACTTAATGTGTTAATAGCTTTTTTTTTTTTTGTATTTCTGTGATGTCCTCTTTATTTGTTTTCATTTCACAACTGATAGCTTTAGTTCATCAAAAACAAACTTAGGCTTTTTATTCTGGTACTAAATACTTTAAGCAGAATATTAAAAATTCAGACTTAGTAAAACGTACCCTGATGTGAAATTATTTTTATATTTCTGTGTTTGAGAATTTGTCAGTTTAAAAAGTCCTAAAAAGTTACTATTTTTTTCTGGGTGTTGGTTTAGTCCCAGACTTTTTGAGAGGCAGAGGCAGGCAGATTTGTGAGTTTCATGTCAGCCAGAACTCCACAAACCTTGTAGGAACATCGCTTCTCCCCAGTAATTTTAGTGGGTTCTCATTTAGAGCATGCAGATTTACTTCAAGTCACTGACCCTCTAAAGGTTGTTTTGTTTTTTTTTCCTGAACATTTAGAGCATGCAGATTTACTTCAAGTCACTGACCCTCTAAAGGTTTTGTTTTGTTTTGTTTTTTCCTGAACCTCTGCCTAACTTTAATAGAAAACTTAGTTGTAAGCATGTTGGGATAGATCACAGAAAGGTTTGACTGCAAGCACAGGATGTAGAGACTTCAGGCACTGGTACTAACCAGCTGCCCTGAGTTTGTGATCTTAAATGTCTCTTATCTTAAACACGTAACACCTTCAAATATATGTAAATGTTTGGAATCAAATATCTTGTTTTTGAGAAGTATAGCCTATGAAACGAGATTAAAACACTTTATTTTGAATTTTTTTGTATTCCTGATTGTTGGTGGCTTTTAACACTATGCAAAAATCCTTATGTGTCTGCAGGAAGGAATTGGCAGCAGGGTTTGCTCGTTATGCACTACAAAATGTAGCATGTTATTTTACTGGTGAGGATGCTGAGCAAACTTAGCAGTGTGGAAAGCAGAGCTCAACTGTAAGCGTATGCTTGTTAGGAACTCTAAACTGCAGTGGAAATGGGGTGTTTCGGGAGCCATTGGAGCAACACCAGAATGAGTTTTTGGTGGTATCAGGACTTCAGATGAATTTGGGCAGAGAATAGTGGAGTCAGGTATATTTTGTACATAGACAGAAACAGTGTTTAGATAGGAAGAAGAAAAAGGAAAGTGTCTGTTTACAGTTAACTTTATTTCATGGACTGACAAAATGATTCTGTATTAATCACTTTTTCTAGTTCCAAGGAGTTGATGCTTAAGAGTTGCATTTCCACCTTCCAGTTCCTGGCTCAGTAATGCACACCCATCAGCCTACTCCAGGTTCTCACTGTCGCATGACTTCCAGTGTCTACACTTGCTGTGACACTCTTGTTTGCAGCTGCCATGAACAGCAGAGATGCGCTGTGGAAGGAACGGGTGCTCGTGCCTCCTCCCTTCCTGTTCTTCCGGCTCTCTTATACTGCTAGGGCCTCAGAAGCCTGCAGTTCTCCCTGAAAGGTGCCCTGGTTGTGTCACCTTTGGCTGCTGTCTGATCAGTTCAGAGGCAAGTGGATTCAGTCCTTGCACTGTGCTGCTGCTGATCGGTCATGTCTTCTTACCGTCACCTACCTTTTACAGGCATCATAATAGAAGCTAGACAATTTCTTTGGGGAAAAGAGACTTATTTAATGTAATTTAAAGACTTTTCCAATAGAAAATGAAATATTATTGAAAATATCTATTTTTTAGCTTTCAGCAATTGATGGTGCTTTGTTGTGTCTGCTGGAAGTTACTGCCATTTTAGGGATTTTCATTAACCTCACCGGGAAAGAACCTTGCTTGTTAGCTTCTTTAGATCTCTAAACAGTTTGTTAGTGATGGTGAACTCTGTAGGAGGGTCTGTTCTGAGTCATCAACTTCCTGTAAGGGGAAAATGGGCTGGTTACCAGATATACCATTGAAGCAGGGTGGGCTGTGGGTGGAGGGATGGTGTTTGTCTTGAGAATTAAAAACTACGAAACACTTTTGTATACAACTGAATTTTTAAAAAAATAAACACATTTTTAAAGATGTTGAATTTCCCCCCTTATTGGGAATTCTTAGAAAAATAAATGCATGCATGTCCTATCTCCCCACCCCCTGCACACATGGTTTATGTATTATTTCTGGGCAAGGAATTAAGCCTTCACATTAAACAAGAGCCAGAAACAATGCTTTCAACAGTTTCTTCGCAATGGTGCATGTGCTAATAGATTCTGAGAGTCGCATCAAGTCTTTGAATTGCAAAGGGTTAGGTTTTTAGTCAGATTTGCTTATTTGTACTTGGGGCATTGTCTGGCATAGTTTTGGCCCAGACTTTTCCACTTTAGTTGGTGGTTGAGGCAGCACTGTTCAGTTTTTACACATGCACACAAGTCCTGGAAGGTCGCATGGTACCGTGAAGACTCTAGATGGTCTTGGTATGTCCTGGGTTTTAAACTTAGTTTTAAGGTGACCAAGTCTGGTGGTGGATGCCTGTGCTCTCAGCACTCAGGACGCAGGCAGGCAGGCTCATGAGAGCTATATAGTTAGATACTATCATAAAAGACCAGGGCTTTTCTGATCCGGTTCTTTAGGTAAATATGTTTAGCGTTTTGCCTCATTTGTAAAATGAGATGAAATGTTAGAGATATCCAGTATGGTGGCACATTGCTCCAACCCCAGCACTTGGCAAGTGCAGGCAGCATGATCAGGGGCTCCAGGCCAACCTGGGGCCTGTACAAGACCGTGCCTCAAAAGACGAAAGGGGAAAGCACTGAAGGGTTTCTGTGTCTGATGTGACTGCATGCTGGGACACCATGGAGATGATTGGATACTGAGGATCTTTCTCTTTTTGGTCCCTGCCTTGTCACTACCCGGTTTCTCCCCAATGCTGGGATTACATGGATGTGTCTATGCCCAGCCCCCCTTTTTTGAATAATTTTTTTTGAATGTGGTGCTGGGACTCGAGCTCCGATCCTAATGTTCACTGAGCAGTCACCCTTTAGAACTGTCCTCAGTGCCCCGTGCTTTGCCT